AAGGCCAGCCTGAGTTACTTAGGGAGGCCATGCCTCATAAAGAAAAAATAAGATAAGCCACCCACACAATCTAAACATGACACAATGGTAACAGAGGTATAGACAGGGTGTCTTCAAGCCAAGAAAAGGATTCTTCATACAAAGAATCAAGAAGATGCTGGCATTCTTACTGGACTTTGTAGATAACTCAAAGCTTACCAAAACAACAGATTTCTAAGACATGGAATTATCCATCTTGAAGTTTTCTAAACATTGAAGAGGGTCTGGCTCGGATATAACAGGAGTATGGTGGCAAGGAAGTGATAAGGCCTGCCCAATTCAATCACATGCCAATGCTTCAAAACAGACTTAATGTGACAGCAAGGTGGCTCAGTGGACATAGGCACTTGCCACCAAGCTGACAACCTTGAGTTTGATCCTTGGAACCCATGGTGAAAACCAGCTTCCACAAATGACGCTCCAATTTTCTACATGTGCACAACAGCATGCAAGTTTGAGTGTAAACATACACACATACACACACACACACACACACACACACACACACACACACACACACGAAAAATAACATAATAAAAAAAAACAGACTTGCCCTAGGGTGTTAGCGCACGCCTTTGATCCCAGCACTCAGGAGGCAGAGGCAAGCAAATCTCTGAGTTCAAAGCTAGCCTGGTCTACATTGTGAGATCCAGAACAGCTGAGGCTATACACCGAGTAACCCTGTCTGAAAAATATTAAAAAAGAAAAAACACTCAGAAGATAAAAATAAAATAAGAACAACAGTGCCAGACACTAGCGACAGCAAGATAGAACCTAAAATTGAGGAGGGGCCAGAAAGACCAAGTGAAATGAACATAAGACTCTAGGTGAAGAAAACGGCACCGGAAGACAAAGATTACCAGGCACCTCCTAGGGTTTCGAGCTTGTGCATCTGAGCACCTGGTGGTGCTGTTTATCAGTAGAGAAAAAACGAAAAGGACTGAGAGAATAAGGATAATGTGCTTAGGTCTCTAGTGTCTGGTTGGTGCTAGTTGGAAGTAGGTATGGGAAATAAACACTCCGGCAACAGAGCTTAAGTGAGACTGCCCAGGGAAAGTGGAAGAGGGGAAAGCCCCCAACAAATTACTTCAAAAATCAGCGAAAACAACAAAACGAGGAACCACCAGTTTTCTAGGCTCAGTCCAAAACCTGAAGAACATCCCACTCGCAGGAAATGGAGCTGCTCTTACAAACAAGCTGGAGCACACACCCAAAAGACAGTGAGGAGCCTAGGACACCAAGTGGGCAGGGGCCTTAGCAGTGGCCCTAACTGTTGAATAACTAGGGCACCCCAGCGTCACTGCGTGCAAACACCCACCCGCACCATCCCTCTACTGGAGACACCTCAGCCATACAAGCAAGCCTCCTGTCCCAAACATCTCAGCCTCACGACTCAACGGCAATGACATCCGGTTGTCAGCATTCCACTGGGACAGCCGCTTCAGGAGACTACATAACGACCAGGGTGCTGGGATCCTTGACACTCTCCAAGAACCAACATGCTGGGAGACCGGCAGACACTTACCTTAAACTTAGGAACCGGGAGAGAAAAGTCTCTGTTTTTGGACCTGACATGGCAGCGGGGGTCTTGGAGGTCTTCCACTGGAGTGTACTTTGAGTCCTAGCAAACAGAAAGAGACAAAACCAGCATGAAAATTTACCAGGCTACCAACCCTATGAAACCACATACAGAAGAGCTGGCATAGCCTGCTCGTTCTCAAAAATCCCAGCCACAGGTAGAGGAGGGAGGTCTGGTGTTGAACGCCGGACAGGGGGATGGGAGCAGAGGAGACTGGAGGTCCAAGGGAGTCAAGAAGAGATGTGGCGCACTCACACTGACACTGAAGTGGACTCCATCATAGCGGTACACCTTTTGAGAAGGTCTGCGCAAGGCAGGGTCCAGAGCAGGATCCACTATGAGCTTGTAGTTCCGCCACTGGAAGCTCGGGGCTTTCTGCCCATCTCCCCCACCTTCCTGGTCCATCCTTGCTCATTTACACTGTCAGGAAAAGAGGGATACGCAATGGGGGTCCAAGGCTTAGGCCTGACTCCGTTGCTGTCCCTCAGTGGCTTGCCCAGATCCCGGCTTCTCACAACAGTCCGGTTTCCACACCTCAGCATGACCCCTGGCTCCCTCAGATTTTGCCCTGAGGACCCAGGTTCACTGTAACACTCCATTCCTCTCCACCCCCAATTCTACCCTCAGGGCCCAGGCCCATCTCGCGCCCCCTTACCTTCCCGCTCTCCCTAGCGCGCCCCACTTGGCCTCCACGCAAGACCCCTCCCCCGTCCCCTCGCAGGCCCCGCCCCCTCCCGCCTCCTCACCGGCCAGCGGCCCGGGCCAAGCCCCGCTCCCGCTCCCACACAGCCGCTCGCGTCCCCGCGCCCCGGTCCTCTGGACCAGAGGTGGCACTTCTTCGGGGCGTTGGAAACACCGCGAGACCAAGCCTGAGACCCAGCCTCGGTCTCTGAATCCGGGCGGGGGGGGGCGGGTAACGCGCGCCGCTGCCCTCTCCTCCCGCCCGGGCGCGTTCGGTGCCCCCCCACACCCCGGCTCCGCGCACGCGCGCCAAGGCCCTACTCACCCGCTCGTGGCGAGCGGCTCACCCTCCCCCCACCGCGCGCAGCACCTCAGCGGCGTGAGGCGGCGGCGGCGGCGGCGGCAGCGCGAGACCCGGCCCCGCAGCGGTGGCGGCGGCGGCGCCCCCCCACCACCACCTCCCCGGCGCGCGCACCAAACACCACCGCCACCTGCACGAGGCCCAGCGGGCACAGCGTCTGCATTCGCACTTTCGCTGCGAGTGCTGCGGAGGGATCCACGGGGCCGAGCGTAGCGGCCTTGCCTCGGGCGGCGCCCTGTAAGGCTCGGGAGTTGTAGCCCAGGGAGCCTGAAGATTGGCCGCATCCCCCGGAGAGTGGACTGCACCACCCTTATCCAGCTGCTCCGGCCTTGGGGTTCGTGACGAATCGGCGGCGACGAAAGCTGCGACAAGCCCCTGAGGAAAGGGGGGCGGAGCGAGGGGGAGGAGGCCAGCCGGAGCTCGGGAGATTTGAGTGGTGCGTCGAACGACGCAGATTCGCGAGGCGGGCGGGGCAGATGAGTGGACAGGATGCGCGCTCCTTTGCTCCTCTTCCCTGCCCCTTCCTTGCGCAGCTCTAATGCCTATGAGGCTGCAGTGCAGATTCGCCACCGTTCTGGGCTTTGGCCGTCACCTCCTCTCACCTGCGGTGGAGTCGAGAAAATGACGCCCGGGTAGCCAAGCCCTGTTGGCAGTGTCGACCGCTATTCCTGGATCTTTCTTTCTAGCACAACTCAAGTAGCAGCCGAATTCGGGCTCAGGGCGAAATGTTTACAGGGAAAAAGTCTTCTCAGAGTTTCTTGAAAATTTTCAGACAAGGTGCCCAAATAATCCTAAGGAGTCGGGTAGCGAATCTGCGGATCCTGTTGTGGGCGGGGCTAACGCGCCGCGCAGAGAGGCGTGGCCAGGCGTGCGGAGCACAGCGTAACGGGCTGCTTCCCGTAGACTCCACCAAAACCTGGGCGGGATGGGAGGTGGAAAAATACAACCAGGAGCGGTGACTCAGGCACTTTACCTCCCCGCGCACATAATGAAGTGATCGGTCGATTCCCGCTATTCTACTCGGGTCCCTGTTGTTTTTCAGACAGAATAACATCGAACTTGCTATGCGCCGAAGGATGGCCTCGAACTCCTGATCTTTTTGCTCCTGTCTCCTGAGTGCTGGGGTTACAGGTGTGCCATCATAACCGGTTTATAGGATGCTGGGGGTCTAGCCTAGGGCTTCTTGCATGCTAGGTACCCTAGTTATACGTCTCTTGGGCTTGTTTTAAAATGTATGTTTGACCAACGGGGAGACTGAGCTATATCGAACAGACCCAATGGAGGTGTAACTAGATTTAAAATTGTCTCAGGTTTAAGAGAGGCCTAAAGACCCTTAAGTGGGTCCTATGAAAGTAAAGGTCTGATAGTAACCCACTTATCCATAGGCAGTTCCTAGACTAGGGCTCCCTGTGCTCACTGAAGCCCAGCTAGGGTCTCACTTGGGAGCCTGAAGCTGAGATTGCACCAAGGTTGAACACCCCTTTTCATCCGCTGAACGCTGGCATTCCCACCAGATCCACTTCCTAAGCTGAGGATGCCCTAAGTGGCTCCTCTACAACAGTCCCTCATATTGATCTTAGTTTCAGGTTATCCCTCCAAGAGTGGATGGCCTCTGGTCACAAAAAGACTTACTGTACCCCTCACAACTGTGTAGGAAAAACTATTGGTGCCTAGCTTTACTTTTTTTGTTTTGTTTTGGAGACAGGGTTTCTCTGTGGCTTTAGAGGCTGTCCTGGAACTAGTTCTTGTAGACCAGGCTGGTCTCAAAACTCAGTGATCTGCCTGCCTCTGCCTCCCCAGTGCTGGGATTAAAGGCGTGCGCCACCACCTCCTGGCAGCTTTACACATCTTAATTGACCAAGTAATCAAATGAAGACTGTCCAAGGCCTCTCACCACAAGACTGACAGGAATTGTGCTCTACAATTATGAGACTGAGAAAGAAATACGTGAAGGCACAGATGATGTTCCTTGTTTTGTTTCAGTTGAAGGGTACCAAGTCATTTCCTTTTCAGAAATCCCTATATAATGGTAATCGCGCTCAGACTGTGCGGCTGTGGGCAAGATCAGCAGCAGCCTTCCTGGTCTCAGCTGCCTGTCTGAAATGGAAAAGATACTTGTTTATTTAGATGGCTGTGAGGCCTAAATGAGAGAACCTACGAACAGTCCTATAGGATGATGTGGTCACTTAGGAAGAAACTTACATGAAATCCCAAGTGTAGAAACAAGCGTTCAGAGAGGCCTTGCCAGCCCCCGAGGGAATCATACCCCACATCAGACCCATTGCCTCCACAAGTAACCTTACCCAAGGTTTCCCTTCACCCCATTCAGTCACAGGAACATACGTGAGACATAATTTATTACCAAAACAAGGTGCATCAAAAATTCCATGTCTAGAGAGCTCTGCTTTCTAAGGGCTGAATTTTCACCCAACCCTTGTCAATCCCTCAGTCTTCAAAGATTCCTCTTACCCCAGCTGTGGCCAAAGAGGGCGAGAGCCAGATGAGCCTGGGGCAGTAGAGCAGGCACAACCACAAGTCACCAAGTGGGAAGTGGTTCATCCTAGGAGCAAACACCCAGGTCCTCTACAGCAGCCAAATCAGGGATGGGGAACCATCCAAACCATGACAGGGAGAAATCTCCTACCATGCCAACTGTGAAATAGATTATGCACCAGCAAGGGATGATTGCCTTGGAGGACAGTGGTGCAGGCATGTACCCTCCCTGTAGAGGAGCAAGCAACTGCTCAGCACCACTGAAGAACCCAGTAAGGCCTCCTCAGGCTGAGACCTTCCCAGTTTCTTGTTCCTCCAGCCAAGCAGAGTGGAGCTTACAAAACCCAGTGAGACATGGAAACAGGGAACATCCCTGGGAGTGTAGGACTGAGCAGGAATGTGGCCTCTGCCCAAGAGTAGTTTACAGGACAGGGCTCCAGTCTGGGGCAGGAATGAGGTCTGTAGATCCCGGGCTCACACAGCCTGCAGCTCCCCCTGCAGGCGACTGAGTTCTTCCAGCTCCTGTTTGTGGCGGTCTGTCTTGTGTGCCACCAAAGATCGGTAGAAATGTAGGGCAAAGGCCATAAACACAAGTCCCACAGGTACCATGATTGCTGTGGAGGCCATAGCTGCCTGCCAACCAGGTCCATGGGCACCACCACACACTTGCCGGGGTGGGCAGGCTTTGGAAGGCTGCTGTGATGTGGATACAGAAGCAGAGGATGGTGTGAGGTTGGAAGCTAAACTAAGGGAGACGGTCACTGGTGGCACCTGGGACATAGGTACCACAGGAGCTGGTTTGTTCATGGGTGCCCCGATGGGCACAAACTTAACCCAGCCCACCAGAACAACTTCAGCCAGGAAGAGGAAGGTGCCCAGGGCCGTGGAGAAGCCCCAGGCCAGCTCCACATATCGGTGGAGCCGTTGGTGTGGCGACTGGTGGACAGAGTTCAGGTTGTGGATGTTGCTCACGGCTTCGATATGGGGAAGCAGACACGTGGAGACCATGAGTGCAAAGAGGTGCACGGCCACTAAGACGGTGGTGCAGGCACTGAAGGCCACTAGCAGGCCTGGCGGGTACTCGTGGCCGCTCTCCAGCTGGACCTCCACCATGGCCACCTGTGGGCACAAGGGAAACGCTGAGTCCCACAGCACCGTCGTCAGGGGTTCGGTTTTGCCCGTTTACCATCAGCATTGCTACCCTAAAACCTAGGACAGTGCCTAGAAGGAAGAAGATACTCCGCTCCCCCTGCCCACCCCACCCCTTTCTTTAGGTAGGGTCTTACTGGTCTTTTGTTTTGTTTCAACTTTTGGTTTTTCAAGACAGGGTTTCTCTGTGTAACAGCCCTGGCTGTCCTGGAATTCCCTCTGTAAACCAGGCTGGCCTCAAAACCAGAGGCCCACCTGCTTCTGCCTGCCAAGTGCTGGCATTAAAGGCATGCACCACCACCACCACCATCTGTATTTTACTCTTATAATTTAGGCTAGTCTGGAATTTGCTAGACAGCCCAGGCTGGGCTGAAACTTGTGACCCTCCTGTCCCAGCTTTCCCACGGGCTGGGATAAGACACTATAACTATGCCTTTCAGCTACTCATGGTCTTAAAAGGCTCTGCTGTGTCCTGTACCTTGATTTCCCACCTCACTATCAAAGGGACTGGCTAACATTTTCCTGAGTTTTTACCTAGTTACAACATAGGGGTAAAAGAAGCACAGACTCGGGCTGGAGAGATGGCTGTTAAGAGCCATCTTGTTCCTCTAGAGGACCTGGAGTCAATTCCCAGCACTCACATGGCAGCTTAGAATGTCTATAACTCCAGTTCCAAGGGACTCATGACACCAGGTATGCACATGGCACATGCAGGCAAAACATCCATACACTTGAAATAAAAATGTAAAAAAAAAAAGGGGGGGACTCAGGGGCTGGGGGTGCAGTTCAGTAGTAGAGCCCTCACTTGGCATTCACAAAACATTCTCTCTAGGTTCAGTCCACAGTACCATCCCCTCCCCAAACCAGACTCAGGCTGGTGTGTTAACACATACTTATTATCTCACCATGTGGGAAAGCTGAAACAGGAGGGTCTCAGGTTTGAGAGCAGTCTACGTTACATATTGAAACCTCATCTCAAAAGAACCCAAAAGTGGCGCACCCCTTTAATCCCAGCACTCAGGAGGCAAAGGCAGAGGCAGACAGATCTCTGTGAGTTCGAGGCCAGTCTGGTCTACAGAGCAAGCTAGGGCTACACAGACACTGTATATATGTATTTTTGTAAAACCAGCCAGAGAGTGGCACACACCTTTAATTCCAACACTTGGGAGGCAGAGGCAGGTGAATCTCTGAGTTTGAGGCTGAGAAACCATGTCTCAAAAAAACAAACAAACAAAAAGTCACAAAAGCTCAAAACAAGCAAACAAAAAGCCTCTGGGCTGCTTGGATCCATTCTTAGCTCTCCAATCTGTAATCCCCCCCCCCCCCCCAGTCCAATGGTCCAGACTTGCCTCCTGCTTCAATGTCCTGAGTAGGGTTAGGGTTATGTGCTACCTTGGCCAGCTGTGTAACCTCTGAGCAAATGCCTCCCTCAATTTCCTACCTGAAAAAAAAATGGGGATAACAGGCTCATTGAGAATGTTAAGTTAAATAATACACATTAACTGCTATGAATAGAGCCAGGCACAGACTAAACACTATTAGAGTATGATGCTAACCTCCAAGGCACTTAAACAAAACCCAAGTAGTAGTTGCCAACTCTTAAAACTTAAGGAGCATCACATGTTTCCAAATCAATCTGAAAACTGTGCAGATGCAGCCACACCAGGACCACTGAAATATGGCAACCATCCAAACTGAGTCGTAGCCGCTCATTTTTGACAGATCAGGGAGTCTCTTGACCACATGACTCCACCCAGCCAGCCAGACTGCAAACATTTGAGTTGATGTACAAATTTGGGCTCTAAAGCCAGGCTGCTGAAGTAAAAATCCTGCCACTAGCTTGCTGCGCCTCAACATCTCAGACCTTGTCTCACCTGAAAACTAACCACCTATACACACTTACTCCATGAGCACTGTACCATAGGATTTCATGGAGCCCAGGCTAGCTAGCATACGAACTCTGTGTAGCCACGGACAACCTTGGTTTTTTATTTCTATCTCAAGTGCTGGGATTATAGGTGTGCTCCACTGTATCTGGGTTATATGGAAACAGAACCTAGGGTGTCCTGTGGTAGGCAAACACTGTACCAACTAGGCTATCTCCACAGCCTTAGAATACAATTTGTATAAAGTTATTCTACCTCAAGCCACCTGGTCTTAAGATGATTTCCCCTAATTTCTGTTTCTTCTTTTCTTTCTTTTTTTGTTTTTTGAGGCAGGGTTTCTCTGTGGCTTTGGAGGCTGTCCTGGAACTTGCTCTTGTAGACTAGACTGGTCTTGAACTCACAGAGATCTGCCTGCCTCTGCCTCCCGAGTGCTGGGATTAAAGGAGTGAGCCACCAACACTCGACAATTTCTGCTTCTTAAAGATCCTAGAGATTGTGCCAGGGCTAGAAGGGAAGGTACAGGACAGCAGTGGTGGTAAGAAAATAAAATTGAGTGTTTTGGGAAATTGGGCCATGGCACAGAGTAGGCACGTGTTTTCACAAACAGGATCTGGGCCAGCCTTGGTTCTGGTTTCTCTCAGGTCTGACCCAACCTTTTCTTGTCAGGACTTGGGGAAGTCCCTGCCCCCAGAACTGAGAAGGCCCTAACTTTCACGCTGTCTTCCCAATGAACTACAAGTTCTGCAGGCTGAACTGTTCTTTAGAAGCAGGCTGAGCCACAGGCTGGGCTCCCTCAAACTGGAGTTACTGTGCTTGTCTGTTTTTGGTAACGATGGGGAGCTGATTCCTTGTGTGAGATGTCATCCCCATCAGGGACTGTGGGCTGCTCTGAGAATCTGAGCCCTCTATAAACTCCACAGACCAAGAACAACCGTTAGGATTAGATTTTTTTTTCATTCAGTTATAGGGGTTGAAAAACAAAGGGACATGCTAAACCAAGTTAGTTCTTATATGACCTCACCTTAACTCCCTCCAATGTTTACTTCCACGAAGGTACGTTCTGAAGGATGCCCTCCCTCCAGGCCTGTTTTCTCCCCCGCCCCCTCCAATCGTGTGGAGAAAACTTAACCTAGCAGAGGTTCACTCCACACCCGTCCCCTGCTGAGTGCCCTCGACAAAACAGCTTCCACCCAGGCTACTTAGCACTGTTCAGAGGCTCCTTTGGTGAGAGGAGCTTGCCCTGACACACCTAGTTCTTTCTAGGGGTCTCCGTAACACTCCCAGCTTCCCTGGACAAAAGCTTGGCAAAGCGCAAAGTCAGCACCTTCTACGCTCTCCCAACTTCCTACTGACGGCAAAAGGAGTGGAGGGCGGTTGGCTCAGGGTCACACAGCTGGCCGTAAGCAGGGAGGAACCAGGACACATCTGCAGACTGCACTCTGGAATCTTCGGTCCCACTTCCTGCGGCCACTGCTGGGACCGTTAGCTGATACTATCCTCCCACACCTGCAGTTTGTCAGACTCGCTGGTCAGCTTCCTTGCCCCGCTTTTACTTTTCGGGGCAATTCTAGCAGCATTTTTTGTGCCTTCTGAGGTGAGGCATCTTCCCGAGGACCGGCCCTAACCTTGAGTGACTTCCGTACCCTACCTCTCTTCCCCCGAACTGGTTGACAACGGCTCTCATCAGCCCGATTTGCCTTCCTACTCTCTCGAGGACTTGGTAGCTATGCCCACTTCGGTGAGAACACTTTTCCCCACCATCCTGCCCCTGCTGACCTCGGTCTGTTTACATGCTTAGGGCCATGCCTGCTACAACCCTGTGCCTGACAGAGGGCTTTTCCAGTCCCTGGAGATTCCGTTCCTTCCGTTACCCTAAAGAAACCCTTTTATTTCGTCCTGCACTCCTTTGGGGCCACCTTCTTTTCTTGCCTCCTCAACCCCGAGCCCACCACGTGCTTCACCCACCCTGTGTGCCCCTTCCCGCCCCTCACCATGGCGAAGCCCGACAGCAGAGCAGACGTGCGGCTGGAGGCTTTGAGCTTAGCCCGGCTGAGGTAGAGGCGGCGCCAGCTGAGCGCCCGCAGCGAGTGCTGACTGGCCCCCATAAGGTCCAGGTAGCCGCGGTGCACGAACTCCCGGTACGTGGCGGAGCCCGCAGGGCTGTCCACCTCCGGGTTCAACGGGGCCTGTTCGCCCGTGTCCCCCTCGCCGCCCTTCATCCTGTGAGCGGCTACACCACCAGCGCCGACGGTCGTGGAGGGGCCGAGGCGCCTCGGGACCCCAGGAAGGGCTGGCCCAAGCGCAGCCGGGGCCCCATCTCCGGCGGCACAGCAGCCCCAGTGGGAGCAGGAGAACCGGGCGTCTATAAGGCCCAGGGGCTGAAACAGGAACTGGGGCAGGGGCGGAGCCCCACGACCACATGATTGGGTGGAGCCCAGAGACCGAACCCCAGCAGTCTGGCCCGTGGGCAGGGATCCCAAGGGAACCCCCACGACCCAGGCCACCAAAAATATCCTAGTGCCTTCGAGTCACCAAGGGGAACGCCCACAGCTTGTGTGGGAATTCGCCAATTTCAGACCACCCAAAGTATACCTGGGCATTCCCAGGTGTCCAAGCTCCCACATTCCTCCTCCAACAGTGGGAAAGTGACCCCATTCTCCGCAAATTAACCACTGGAGCCCCTTCCGCCATCCTCACCCACCACTCAAGACTCAGACACAGGAAGTCAGCGGCCCCGGCTAGGAGATTCTGAGTTTTATACAAACCATATTGTACAGACTTGGGGGCTCAAGGGGTCCAGCCAGGCTGGGTACCCCACTTGCACTTGCCAGGGTGCCTCTGCCCCTCCCTCAAGCTGCCCCATCAAGCCTTTCTCCAATCCCAGGCCCCCTCCCTCCTGCCTTTGGTCGGCCCAGGTCCCGCCCCCAACCCGCACACCTTCCTGTTACCTCAGGTATGTGGATAGATTCCCCTCCCCCACCCCCATGTGGTACAATCCAGTTCCCCCTGGCCTAAGTTGAATGAGACCTGGACTGACTCCTCACTCAGGTTCTTGAGACCCCACCCCCACACTGGATGAAGGGAAGGGGTGTAGAGAGTGGAGATGCCAAGAGTCTGTTACTAAGTTCCCACAGCAACTAAGAGGGACCATTTCCAGTCTTAGTACTGATTTCTGGAGGTTTCCATTGGCTGCTATTTCCATGCAACCAGGAGTGGCAGTTCCCTAGGCAAATGGGACACACGTTTCCATGACGATGAAAAAATGGGAAGAGCCAAACTGGAGAAGTCCCATCTTGCTCATCTTTAAGCTGATATCTCCCACCCCCAACTCAAGTCAGAGGGGTGGAGCTGTTCAAGACAGTAAGAGCTGGGGGTGGGACAGTCCAAACTGGGTACCCACCAGCCCAGTCTTGGTCAAGCCGGTCCCCTCACACCACAATCCCCCAATTCCGAGGTTCCCCGGGTTCAAGTAACACTTCAGTACAGATGAATGTCCAAATATTGTGTAGAGAGCCAGGCAGGGGTCTGGGCTCCCCCTCAACACTCCCCTCACCACGAGCTGGACAACAGGTAGCCCGTGGCCCTACTCCTTGCAATAGCTGCCATGTTCAGTGACGTTCAAGGAGTCTGGGCGGGGAAAGAAGTGGAATCTGCTGGAAGGGAGAGGGGTAACCCAGAGAGGGCACTATCTCCACATCTGCTCCTCCCCCAGCCCCAGTCCTGGGTTTCTTGGCTTCTCGAGCCCCCTATCTGATACCTGGATCCCCAATTGCTCCTCTGGTTTCCCTTTTTGGCCCCATCCCACCCAACTGGTCTTTGTTCCCTGAACCCTTGTTGGTCTGCTTTCTGCCCTCCCCACAACAGTATCCTGTGTACAAGATGCCACCTCCTCACTCTTCCTACTTGAGACGTGCACCTTCACCGCCCCTCCCGCCGTCCCTGTGGCTCAGCCCCTCCCCAGTACCTGCTGACCCACTCCCCCAGGGGAGGACGGTGAAGCGGGGAAGGGAGAGGCGGGGAGCAAGAGCCCCAGAGACTTCAGTGCAGGCGGGAGGGGAGGGCTGGCTCAAGTCACTGGGCAGGAAGCTCAAGTCACTGAACGCAGAGGAGAGCCAAGTCACCAGAGAAGTAACCTGGCCTCCCGCGGGTGGAATGAAAGGGAGAGGCACAGTCCCGGGGGAAGGGAGCATAGGCACCCAACTAGCTGTCCTTGAGAAGTAGTTTCTCTTCTGGGCAGCGAAAGGGGCCAGGTGGCCCAGCAGCTGCCAACCGGGCACAAGCTTCAGGTGAGAGCTGGCGGCAGGAGCGTAGGTCCAGGCGGCGAAGACGTGGGCAGCGACGGAACAGTGGAAGGCAGTGGTCCGTGAGGCGGTGGCACCCTGAAGATGAGGCATAGCGGCTCAGACTACGTAGGTGAGTGGGCAGTAGACAGTGGACAGGGTCCACATCGCCAGGCAAGCAAGGCAGACAGGATCGCACTCACCAGCAAGGTTGAGGTGCACCAGTGTCTCTCGGAGAGGGGGAAGTGGGAGCTGTGAGGAGGTGGACACTTGGGTCCCCAACATGGGCGCAGTGACTCAAATCCAGGGCACTGAGCTGGGGAGCGTGGCGCAGTAAGAGCCTCAGGGAGGCATCAGTGAGTTCCAGGCCTGCCAGGCGAAGTTCTGCCACACCCTGCAGCCGACCCCTGCTCTCTGTTTGCCCTGGGAAGACAAAGAATTTAGCACTCAAGGCCCCTCCTCCCTGGACCCTACCCCAGAGCTCTGCCCTCATTATCTCCCCGCACCCCCTCCCAACATGTGAGAGCCCCCCCACTCTGCCCCATATGATTTGCTCTTCCAAACACCCACAGCACCCAATGTTGTCTGGCCATCTGACAGTTGCTCCTATCCCCTCAGGAAGCCTCCCATGGGCGCTCAAGTCTTCACATTCCTCTCCTAACTCCCACCCCCAGTATCTGATTCACTGTATACATTTTTCCTTAGGGATCTTTTTCTCCCTACATAAAAATGTCAGTTCAAGAAAGTAGGAACTTTTGCTCACTGCTCTGTCCCTAGTAGGATGCCTAGTATTTTCTCCCTGAATCCAATAAACAACACTCCCCCACCCTCCCCATGACTAGTGAGGTCACTGTTCTGGCTCAACAGCCTCACTTGAACTCCTCTTGTCCCTTCTCCATCAAGAACCAGATCTGACCACAGACACCCTCCTACACTCTTGCTACGTAACTCTGGCTGGCCTGAACTCCCTATAGCCCTAGTTGGCCTCAAATTAGCAGCAATTCTGTCTCTACCTGCTGAATGCTACCATGCCTGATCTACTTTTTACTATCAAGGAACCATTCTCAAACACAAAATACTATCTCTCCTCTGCGTGAAATGCTCTGGAGGTATGTGCTGGCTAGGTTTTCTCCTTTTTATTTTTGTCAGTTTGACACAAGCCAGAATCATCTTCGAAGAGAGAATGTCAACTGAAGAATGGCCTCAATCAGATTGGCCTGCAGGCAAGTCTGTAGGGGCATGTTTCTTATTAATGACTGATGTGGGACCGCACAGTTCACTGTGGGCAAGCAGATCTGGTCTGGTATAACAGAGGCAAGCTGAGCAAGCCATGGGCAAGCCAGTTAGCAGTGTACCTCCATGGTCTCTGCTTCAGTTCCCGCCTTGACTTCCTACCCTGACTTCATAATGAACTACAAGGTATAAGATGAAATTAACCCTCCCCTCCCGAAGTTCCTTTGGTCACAATGTCTTATCACAGCTATAGAAAACTAAGCAGGACAGGGTAACTTCCCCATCGAATGCTGACTCCACAAATGGCTCTATCCACAAATCCTGATGGAATGACCTATGCACAAAAGAGAATGCTGGTCACTGCAGAATGAGTCCAGAGGTCTCCTTCTCCCGTCTTCGGGGGAAAGGGTTTAGTGTCCTCCCACTCCATACTGCTGGCTTGAGAGCCTGACTGGTGGAGAACAGGCCTCGCCCCAGAACTGCCGTAGGTCTAGCAGGAGGCCCAAGATCTCAGGTTTACTTTTCTTCCAAATTCTCTTGCAGAAACACTGTTAGGCTTGTAACTACACTCTATGAAGTCAAGGCCTGGTCAGGCAGAGGTGGCGCACACCTTTAATATCAGTAAGTGGAAGGCAGAAGCAGGTGGAGCTCTGTAAATCTGAGTGAGTTCCAGGACAGCCTGGGCTAGCTACAGAAAAAAAAAAAAAAAAGCCTCAGGGCTACAGAGATGGCTCAGTGGTTAGGCACACCATCCTTCCTAGTACCTACATCAGAAGGGCCACTGCCACCTGCATCTGACACCCCTGGCCTGTATGAGCATCTGCACTCATGTGCACATCCACACACAGATATATGCATATAATTTTAAATAATAAAAATAAAGGAAGCCAAGCCTCTCCTTTGATCACCTCTGTTCACAGATGGGGATACTGAGGCTCAGGTCACAAAGTCACCTGTCAAAGAACCCATGCTTAAGAAGTAACAGAGCCAGTACCCCCAGATCTAGGGACTGAATCAAATTCTTACCACAATGCTATCACCTGCCAGGCAGTAGCCTAGCTCTGAGAAAAACATCACCAGATGTCACAGACTAACAAGACAAATTTCCAAAAATGTTCTGTGGCATCTGCACAGTGCTGAAAATCATGGTGGGGCAGGTGGGGAGTCCTTAGGGATTGAACCTAGGGCTGCATGTGTTAGGTGAACACTCTCCACTAACCTGTATCCTCATTTACTTTCAGTTGCCTAGGCTTGCCCTGAATTCCTGATACTCCTGCCTCAATTCCTGAGTATCTCAGATCACAGAAATGGACTACTAAGCTTCACTTAGAATTACTCTGTAAAATTTATTTTTGAGACAAAAATCTTAGTATTTAGCTCAGGCTAGCTGCTTACTCCCCTGCTTCTGCCTCAGGAGTACTGGGACTACAAGGTGGGCCACTACACCCAGCCTGGCTTAAAACTTTTTAGTGATCTGGGCGTTGGTGGCACACAGGCAGGTGGATCTCTGGGAGTTCGAGATCAGCCTGGTCTACAAGAGCTAGTTCCAGGACAACCTCCAAAGCCACAGAGAAACCCTGCCTCGAAAAAACAAACAAAAACAACTTTTAAGCGAATGACTAACAATTTGTTGTTCTTGCTTTGTTTTTCAAGACAGGGTTTCTCTGTGTAGCCCTGGCTGTCCTGGAACTCTCTAACTCTGTAGACCAGGCTGCTGTCTCTTCCTCCCGATTGCAGGATTAAAGGTGTTCAGTCACCACTGATCGGCTATATGTTTTAAATAGATGGGTATTTTGCTTGCATGTATACTATACGTGTGAAGTGGCATAGGAAGTCAGAAAAGGTTATTGTGTCCCCTGGAACTTGAGTTACAGATGGTTGTGAACAACCATGTAGGTGCTGAGATTGAAACACAGGCCCTGTGGAAGGAGAGTAGCCGCTGAACCATCTCTCTGCCTCCTTAAATGATATTTCAATATAGAAATTTAGATCAGACTTTTCTTGAAAACCCATGCTTACTTTACCCTGACAATGAATGGCAGCAATAGGGCTGCTGGTGCCACTTCCTAAGGTCTGGCACCCAAACATCACTTCTGTTACTACCTCTGTGGGCATTCAACTTGGCAAGCCCTGATTCTAACCCTCCACACAGCTCACAGCCTAGAGAAGAAGCACATTTACAGACTGGCCACAGCCCAAGTCTACCAGAAGAAAGGAAGGTTATTCAGAACTTGTGGGGAAAAGGACAGGGGATATTAGTGTATGTCACAGAAGTGAGAAAACTGAGCATATTAAATAAGAGCTGAGACAGCTTCCTGAGTGGAAGAAACAAATGATCAGAAAAAGAAGGAAGGCAGGATGAAAGGGTGTGGGTCCCACTGAAGCCCCAGCCGCCCTGCTCACAGTCACACTTGGTGAGAACCTACAGTAAGACTGTCCCGAATCCTCTTCCCCATGGATTCAGTCTCAGAGACGTAAAATGTGAAAGACTAAGAAAAACAAAATACAAGTGTGGGGTCTTTTCCTCCAAGGAACTTAAAAGGACAGCTGTTAATTAGATGAAGGATGGTGTAGCATCAGAGGTAAAGAAGACGGGAAAAGGAAAAGGTCCCAGAACTGGAGAGAGCTTGGCAAGAAGGTTGAAACAACTAACTACAGGGATGGCGTAGGGCAGCTAACCTAGCCCTCAGCCACCACTGTGAAAAATACTGGCTGTATCCAAGGACGGTGGTCCACATCTCTCAACTCAGTACCCAGGAGATCACAGGTTCCAGGTTGGACTAGGCAACAGAACAAAAGCTGTCTCAAAACCAAACAAGAACAAAAACTAAGACATGGTTCACACTAATCCCAGCATATGGGAGACAAAAGCTCATCCCTTGACTTTGAAGCCAGCCTGGTCTACATAATGAGACCCTGTGTAAAACCACATTAACAACAAAGCCCAACCCCATGAGCTCAGTGGTAGAGGCTGAGTTCCCTAGACATAGGAAACAAAAAAGTGGCCTTTACCCACGCGATTAGACAAGGAGAGTTAAAGCACAGGGTGACACACTGAAGTGCCCTCTCTGGAGCCTCTTCTAGCACTGGTATGAAGAGACTGCTGGGGCCAGAGAGGATGTCTGAACACAACCCTCCTCACCAGGCCTTCCCTTCCTAGGAAGCCCTCTCCTTTTGTGACTTAGTTCCAAGCACGCAGCAGGAAAGTGAGTGAATGAAAAATGGCCAAGACAGGTCTTCCGCTCAGACTCCTGTGTTCTTCCATTCTTACTGAGCAGCATTCAGAGCCCACATCTCCACTCTACCTAACCCATCTGCACATGAACACACGGTGGATAAACCTGGTTTAGTGTCTGGTGGAGGCAGCAGCAGCTCACGAAGCTGTGAGTCTTTGACATCTTCAATCCAGCGGAGGTCCAAGAGCCGAAGCGCTGGCAGTGGGGCCGAGCCCAGGGCTGAGACGGAGAGCCAGGAGCACCCGGAAAGCACCAACTCCTGCAGGCCTAGAAGCAAGGTCAGGAAGCAGATGCTGGGACTTCCCCGTACCGCCTTGCTGTCGTGTGTGTGTGTGTCCTGTCCTGCCCCACCCCCCACGTCCTGACTCACCACCAGCCCTACCTTGCAGTCGATTCAGAAGCCACATGAGCTGCTTTTTGGAGACACCTGTCCAGCTGAGGTCCAGAGCACGCGGCTGGCGGCGAACAACTCCACTAAGCATGGGTGGGGTCAGTGACTTCCTTCGGCTTAGGTCCATCCTAGGCCACAGACGCTTGTCGTAGCACCTGCCAGCCACAGGGGGGAGACAGAGTCCTCAGTCTCAACTCTCATCAGCTCCCCAGCTCTTTCCTGTCCCAAGGACAGCAAGAATCTTCTGGCCCTTAGACCAAAGGACTGGATTTAGGACCCCACATCATTGCTAACTGGAAGGAAGACCCTGGGCAAGTCCATTCCTCTCCCTGAGTCAGAAAGACTTCAGTTATAAACTGAAGATAATGACTCAGGCTGCTTGCAGGGCCGCTTTAAGATCAAATGAAATAATTACAGTTCATGGACCTTACAACTTATAAAGTGCTTTGCCAGATAGCTACACAAACTTCATACACACTATTTGATGTAATTAATGCCAAAGAGATCTGAAAAGAGCCCCTAGACTCTACCTCTGGCTTCCTGGTTGCTCTCCCTTACTAAGTTAGGACAGCTCACAGGCACGCCACAGCTTTCCTCTGCCGTGTGTAACTTTGGCCTTATAGCCCTGATATCTTCTGTGTGTTGGATTATGGAGTTCCCCCCACTAGGATGTAAGTTCCATAGGGGCAGATTTGGCCTTTTTCACCTCTGGATCCTAGCATCCAACACACTAAAGGCAGGTGCAGAGTACAGGTGAGCTACCACACACTCTTTGCCCATGTGCCGAATGAATCAAGCCAGGCTTCCATTATGCACTCTCCCACCAACAACTCGAATCACCATTTTGCATTTATTAAGTGTTTATGGAAGGCCTTGTGGGTTCCAGGCCCTGGAGAACAAATGCAAACACATAGACTCTGAAGCAAACAAGTCTGACTCCAGCACCCCAAAAGACTCAACTGGTCCACACGCATCGAGTGGGAGGCTCCCAAATATTATGGAGTAGTCTTTCCCCAGCTCTCCTTAAGGAAGCTGTTAACATCTTGTGATACCCTGAAGTTCCACCAGACTCCACGGCCTTCTGCTTGGGTAATTTTCAAAGGTGAGCCAGGAAATGCCCACTGAACTAGATGGGCAGGCTGGGGATGAGACCTGGAAACGTGAGGTTGGAGGAGGAATTTCTATGTCTTTTATCTGTCTTCTATCTCTTTCTCTGCATAACATGGGTTTATCTTCTTTGGTTTGTTTGAGAAAGAATATCAAACTGTAGCCCAGACTGGTCTGAAACTCACTCTGTAACCCAAACTGGTTTGGAACTCACCGTTTAGGCTACTTTAGAACTGAAGGTGGGCCAGGCATGATGGTGCACGCCTTTAATCCCAGCACTCAAGAAGCACAGGCAGGTAGATCTCTAAGTTTGGTTCTAGGACAATGAGTTCTAGGACAGACTGGGCTCAAAACACACCTTTAATTCTAGCACTCAGGAGGCAGAGGCAGGTGGTCCCTGAGTTCGAGGCTAGCCTGGTCTACAGAGTGACATCCAGGACAGTCAGGACAACACAGAGAAACCCTATCTCAAAAAAGAAAACAAAACCAAACCACAAATAACAGAAAAAGAAACAAAAGACCTTGAGGTGTTCTTCCTATCAACTAGGATGCAGGTGTGTGCTACCATCCTATTTGGCACGATTTAAATCATTCTCTATCTGCACCTGAACCAGTGCTGTACCCGGAGTAGAGGCACATGCCTGCAATTCTAGCACTGAGAGTGGAGATGAACAGCAGACAACAGTGGTTCACAGAAGTGTGTAACTTAAATAAACACAAGGACTGGTGATGCTCGTCAGTAAAACACTCAACAAACAAGCCTGATGACCTGCCGAGGTCTATCTTAGGACCATGTGACGGTGGAGAGAGAACTGACACTCTTAAACCTCACCTCCTCCCAAATAAGGAAAAAATTAAAAAGCCAGTCTACATTGCGTAATGGGACACTGTCACCAGAAACCAGTGAGATGACTCAGTAGGTAAGGGTGCTAGTGCCAAAGCTGATGACAGAGTTCAATTCCCAGGATGACACCTCATCCCACTTCACCCCACTGCCAGCCCCTTGAGCGACACACACAAAAACAGATAAATATAATGAAAAAGCCAGTAAAGAAATGAAATTTAAATAAATACAGTTAAAACTATTACATTCCAGTCAGGAGTTACTATGGTGTAGGTCAGCTCCCTAAAACAAGTTAAGCAAATGATATGGATTAGAAAGGTGTTAAAGATGAAATGGCGGCCGGGCGGTGGTGGAGCACGCCTTTAATCCCAGCACTCAGGAAGCAGAGGCAGGCAGATCTCTGTGAGTTCGAGGCCAGCCTGGTCTACAATGGAGTGCCAGGATAGGCTCCAAAACAATACAGAGAAACCCTGTCTCGAAAAAAATACAAGCAAAGAGATGCAATGACTCCCAGTATCAATAGATTTCCTTTTGAAAACCAACAGATTTAGCCTTCATTTGCTGTCACTTGAAGAGTCAGGTAACTTGGCACATAGAAGATGCTGATAGCCCTAGCTGCTCAGGAGGCTGAGGTAGGAGTATTACTCGGCTAAGGAGTTTGAGGTCACCTTGGGTAGTTGGAGTCAGAGCCTGACTCAAAACACAAACTGGCCGTGGAAGTGTACCCCTGTAATAACAGTCCATGGGAGGCCAAGACGGTGTATCACAAGTTTGAGGTCTGAAAGGGCTACATATTAAGACCCTGACTAAAGGAGGGAGGGAGGGAGGGAGGGAGGGAGGGAGGGAGGGAGGGAGGGAGGGAGGGAGAGAGAGAGAGAGAGCGCGCAACAAACAACAATGAAAACAAAACATAAAAACCTTGTTAACACTCCACAGCACTTCAGCAAAGGCTATAGTCAGGCTTCAGTGGGAACCAAGTCCTCTGCTCCCCACAGCCTATGCCTTCCTTTCTTTCAATTCTTCCCTTCTAACTGCCATTCTAGTCTCTCCTCTCCACCCCTCCATTCAACCAATAAACACACACACCTCTGCAATTCTAAGAAAAAACAGCCAGCTCCATCACCAGCTTCTTCCTTTGCTACTCTGACCTGCTATACCGAAGTCCTTCCTGGCCAGCTCCTCTCCTGGCAGACCTCCTGGTTGACCACACTTGGAAAGAAAATCCTAATTTTCGGATACTCACAGATCCCCAATTGTGTTTCTGTATCATATTCCACAAACTCCAGGCCAGAATACCTACATGCCTATATAGGCATGCAATGCCATCTAGTGCCAACATATTCTGGCACATTCTTTGTTGCCAGGAAGGCTAACTCTCCCAGGTGCTTCAAGGCTCAACTCTAAACCTCACATTCAGGAAGTCTCCCTGATGTCTCTAGACTGAAGTGAACTCATACCGTGGCAATCAGGTCCAGGACACCCAGATTAACCCTCAGTGTGGTAGTCAACAACTGCTGAGGTCTTACTGGTACGAGTATCCAGCTTCCTCTGGTCACGAGGAACAAAAACACTACCGGGGAAGACCAAGATAAGGACACAGCCCCTCAACCCAGACCAAGAGAAGGGAGCATCCTGTAGAGATAATGCCTGAGCTAAGGCTGTGATGAAGCCTTACTCCAGGCAGGGGAAGGTGGACAAGGGCAGAGTCTGTCTACACCCAGGAGCAGGACAACAAACAGGGCAGCTCTGGAAAACTCAGGAGGCAAGAACAAGGACAATTCACCTTAACATAATGGTGCTGACGGCTACAGGACTAACAGCACTTGTTTACTCAAGGGTTACTATGTCCTGAGTTCTGTTCTTTGCACTAAGCATTAAGTCCACATCATCCCTGGGTGATGATTATCACCTCCTTTGTTCAGTTAAGAAAAATAAGGCCCGGAGAGGTTAAAAATGTGCCTAAGAGCTGGAGCGAGGGCTTAGCAGTAAAGAGAGCACTTACTGCTCTTGCAGAGGACCTGGGTTTGGCTCTCAGAGCCAACATGGCAGCTCACAACTGCCTGATGCTCTGGTTCTAGGGGATCCAACGTGCTCATAACTCACACAAGCACACAATATACATAAATAAAAACAAAAACGAAATCTTGTTCAAGGACCTGTAGGTATTACATGGATGGAGCCTGAACCCTGAATGGGAAAAGGCATGAATGAGGCTACCAAGGAAGCCAGAGCGGCAATAGGGAGGTCAAAGAGGACTTCAATGCCAGGTACGCACACTGTCACAGGCACAGAACCAGAGTGGAATGCTTAATCTGGGGAAATTTAACCCCAGTTCCACACTTGGGGAGACCTCCCTGGGCCTCTATTTCTCAAGCCATAAAATGGGGTAAGAGTTCTGACTTCAAAGACTTGTCATACCAAAGGGAGCACAGGAAGGGTTCACTGGGGCCCAGCATATGTCCAATGGGACTGTGAATTGGTCGACAGAGAACCATGGATGTCCTTCTAGCTGAGGAGGTGACACTGTGAAAAGTGGCACTTAAAAGACAAGGCATACAAATATTCTCTCTCTCTCTCCCCCTCCTTGAGACAGGGTTTCTCGGTATAGCCATAGCTGTCCTGGAACTTGCTCTGTAGACCACGCTGGCCTCAAACTCCGAGATTCACCTGCCTCTGCCTCCCGAGTGCTGGAATAAAAGACTTGCATCACCACCTGGCAACATCCCTGTTTTGACTTCAGCCTAGTCCACATCCTCCTGTCCTCTGCTGCAGTTTCAAACCCCATCTTGCCCCTGGGGACAGAGGCTTCTAAGTGCTCTCTACAGGCTCTGCATCACTCTGGACACAGGCGACAGCTAGTTCTCCCTTCTAAGAGCTCTCTGGGATCCCGAAACTATCCCTGTCCTCCAGTCTCCCACCAGCCAGCCTTGACCAGGGGCCATTGCCTTCCTTACTTCCTTCTCTGCCCACGTCCTTGAAAACTGCAATGTCTACCTAGTACATCAACACCTCCTCCACAACCCCCCCACTCGCCCTTTGCCTCCCAGTTCTAAATAATCAAAGCCACCAGACAGGAAAGCCTGCAACTGCCTGCTCTCCCACTTAGACCTCTCCAGCTACACCCTCTTCTACCTCTCCCACACCCATTTCTTCATTTATGCTCATTCACTCACTGTTGCCTTAATAGCTGGTGAATGCCAGCTGCCTTCTCAGAAACCAGGGACACACAGCAGGAGCACTGGGCCAAGTCCCTGACTTGGAGTTGATGTCTGACTCTGGCTTTGGCTCTCCTCTCTCGAGCATAGCCAAGAATAGCAAGGTTGTGTATGTATGTGTGGCTTGAGACAGAACCCAGGTCTTCTGCATATTAGGCAAGCATTCTCCCACTAGTCCTGATAACAGCGTCAATTATCACCTTTGGTCACTCATCTCCCCTGACCTCTCATCATCTGTCCTTCCTCAGCTTCTTTTTGTAGGGCCTACCGTGATCTCCCACAATTCTTGGGTTGCTCTTTCTCTAGCTCACATTCATATTCCGTCTCTGCTCTCTATCAGCAGTTCTCAACCTGTGGGTCAAGACCCCTTTGGGGATAGGAATGACCCGCACACAGGAGTTGCCTATGACCATCGGAAACCAGATATTTACATTACAACCCCTAATAGCAGCAAAATTACAGTTATGAAATAGCAACAAAAATAATTTTATGGTTGGGGGGGGTCACCGCAACATGAGGAACTGTATTCAGGGATCACGGCATTAAGAAGGTTGAGAACCACACTGCTCTGTCAAATCTGCTACTCATAGGATAAAAAATTTCAAGTCAGCACCAGACTGTACTTTCTCAGCAGTGGTATCTGACTGGTTCAGAAGCTTTTTCAGACCCAAGAGATCAAATCTGAACTCTCTCTCCACTCAAACTGCTCCTCCTTTGTGATTCCCAAGCTTCAAGAAGATCTCTATCTCCCATCCAGGCTCCTGGATCACAAACTTAGTTGACATTCACAATACAGTCTGCAGACAATGAGTCAGCAAGTCCTACCCAACTTTCTGCATTACGAAGGCTTGAACCTAGGACCATGATAAACAGGTGCTCTCTACAACTCCTGTCCTCTTCAAGAGCAGTGCAGGCTCTTAACTGATGAACCATCTCTCTAGCTGCTCCCCACCCCCCTTGCTTTTTTGAAACAGGGTCTCTTCCCAGGAACTAGGGCTTGTTGATCAGGTTAGGCTGGCTGGCCAGCAAGCCCCAGGAATTCTCTTGTCTCAATGCTGGCCTTTTACATGGGTTCTGGGAATGGAACTTTGGTCTTTACAACAAATCCTTTACTGACAGAACTATCTCCCCAGCCCCCACCCTTTCCCCTTTCTCCTTATTTCTTCTTCTTCTTTTTTTTTTTTAATTAAATGGAGGTTGTCCTGGAACTCACTCTGCAGACCAGGCTGGCCTCAATTTACAGAGATCTGCCTGCCTCTGCCTCCCAAGAGCTGGGATTAAAGGCGTGTGCCACCACACTCATTTCTCCTAGTCCTTTTATCCTGAGAAGGGCCAAATAAATTGCTGACGCTAGCCTTGAGGTTGCCATCTGTCTGCCTCAATCTCCAAGTAATGGAATTACAGACCTGCGCCCTCAAGCCCAGGTGCCATTCCTCTTCGAGGCAGGCGTGTGGGTGCAATACCGAAGCAGGGGGTTCTGAACCGCTGGCAAAACTTTGTCTCCTCACTTCCTCCCTGAAGTCTCAGTCTGTACCCCTCCCTACCACTCCTGCTTCAGTGCCCAGATCTGGCCGAGCTTCCTGAAAGGTCCCCCACTGTGGTCCCCACAAGCCTGCTTTGTCCTTGTTGGTTCTCACCTGAAGGCACCATTTACTGAGGGCTTAGTACCCTCAGGCACTATGCTAAATGCTCTGCGGAACCGCCTCATTAAAACCCACAAGGTAAATAGGACTTGGCTTCTGTATCTGAGGTTCTGCATCTAAAGAGTCAACCGCCCACGGGTAGAAACATTCAAAACAAAAACTGCCTAAGTACAGAAGGAGACAAGTTTTGTTCCTCCCCAAACAATACAGTATAGTAACTATTTCCATATTATCTGCATTGTATTAGACAACTACAAGTCATCTACTGAGTGAGCAGATTATATACAAACACTATGCTGTTTGGATTTTGGTATCCTTACGTGCAATGGCATTTTAGAGCTAATCCTTCTTAGGACCTGAGCTCCAACTACATTACAAGTGAGAAATAGAGGCCGCATGAGATATAAGTCATCATTGATGAAAGCCATGGGCTAGGCTGCAAGGCCCAAACTTGGAAACACTATGCACTCACTGGTCTCTCTGCTTTGACCACCTCCAGCGACAGGTCTCTTCATGGATCCCATGTGTCAAGCATAGAGCTAGCCAAAAATGCATGGACAATCACGTCCTCAGGAATTACATCAGATGGTGTGGTTACTCTCAGCAACTTCTGTGATTGCATCTATGCTGTAGTCTATCAAATCTTCCAAAGCACCCTTTTTTTGGGGGGGGGGTGGATGGACGCTGAGACATGGTTTCTGTGTGAAACCACTCTGACCTGGAACTTACTCTGTAGATTAGGCTGGCCTTGAAACTCAGATAGGCCTGCCTCTGCCTTCCAAGTACTGGGATTAAAAGTGTTCCTCAACACCACCTGGTTATCCTGTTTTTTTTAATGAAGAAAATGAGGCCAGGACTGGTGGTGCAGACCTGTAACCCTAGCTACTTGGGAGTAAAAGGATCACAAGGACAGCCTATGCAGTTTGGAGAGTCTGTCTCAAAAATAAAAAGGAAGAAGATGGCTCAGAGTATAATTCAGTAGTGGAGGATGGCCTCCCCACCAGTCCCTGGGTTCAATTCCTAGTACAGGCAAAGGAGAGAAGGAGGGAGGATAAAAAAGAAAGTAAGTAAGGCAGGCAGGCATGAGGAAGTTAAAAACTAGCCCCAGGGCATAAACTCACTGGAACAAACAGTCTACCAGAGGCATTTGCCTCTGGCTCTCACATACCAGTCTCCCTGGCTCTACGGAAACCAGAAGGCAAAGAAGTGGCTCTCCAGATCCTGTCCCAAAGGAAGAGGGAGGGAGTTTTGTTTAGCCCCTAACTTAACTTGGAAGCTTCAAGCCTGCTCAACCCTCATGAGTGCTGCTGTTACAAAGATAACCATCACACTCTTTTTTTTTTTTTTTTTTTTTGAGGCAAAGTATCATTATGTAGCCAAGACAGGCCTCCAACTCAGGCTCCCCCTGCCTCAGGCTCCTCCTGCCTCAGCCTCCTCAGGGCTGGAGATGCAACAATGTTGAAGCCCTGACAGGAATCTGAGTCCTGGGAAAAAGCTTGAATTTACTCAGTAAAACACTTCTTTCACATCAATCTATACAGTCTTTGTACTATGCTGGGGATATGAAGATAAAAATCGATACACAGTATGTGCCCCAACCCCAAAAACTAAAGGGAACATGAAAATAAATAATGAAAGCTTGTCCACATGCCAAAGGCCTCTATGCTCCATTAGGGGAACAGCATGCTGTGGGAGCATGATAGAGGAAGCTTGTTGGGAGAGGATCAGAAGGGAAGACAGGCTTTGGAAGATGACCCTACACAGAGTTGAGGGTGTAGGGAGGAAGGAGTCGGCTGGTTCAGGAGGCCCAAGCATAGCTGCTTCAGAGAGCAACAGCTCCCTTAGCAAAGCTGGGACCAAAGCAGACTGTTTTCAGAAGATGGAGCTCAGAACAAGAAAAGTGGACACCGCCTGACACTATGCTTGGTGTATACTCTTAACATAAAAGGGAAATGGTTGGAGCCACAGGGTCCAGATTCAAACTCCTGGTTCTCATATCTCTCCTCCACAGAGGCGCTGGAGGCAAAGTGAGCTCAGAGGATCACATTACAACAGACACATCAAGGAAGGAAGGATTCAGAGAATCAGAGACCTGTTAGAGGTCACCCAGCAAGCAAGAATCAACAGAACTCAGGCCTGTCTAGCCACTCACCAGCGGCTCCAAGTCCGGCAGACTCGCATGCAGACACATAGCTCTCGGGGTCCCAGGTGCTGGAAGACACGAAGCCAGGCAGCCCGAGGCAGAGGGTGGTCGGATCCAGCAGCCAAAGGCAGAGTGTCAGGCTCTGGACTTCGAGGGGGTGGGCGTACCACGTGCCGCTCCAACTGTGGAGGCCGTGGTGGTGGGGCAGGACCCAGGGGCCAGCTGAGCAGTGGTCCCCCACTTCCAGGGCGTACAGCCCGCCGCCCCCCACGGTTCTCCTTCTCGCCAGAGCTACCCCGGGCTGGCCGCCGCCCATTGCGAGCCTCCCCAGGAGCTTCATCCTCACTAAGCGATGTGCCAGATGAGTCTGAGTCAGAGTCCGAGTCTGAGGAGGACGAGGAGGTATCAGGCACCCGCTCCAGCAGCTGGCACATCCGCTTAAAACGCTCCAGTTTCTCCCTCTGTGGTGATGGGGATGGCACTGCAGGTCCCTCAGCAGAGGCCATAGGTGGCTTTGGTTTCTGCAGAGAAACAGGTGAAGCTGTACATGGGTCTAAAGTGACTTTCCCAACCACTCACCCAAAAGGAGTCACCAGAGGATGAAGAGCCCAGGAGACAGTCCTGAGTTCCTAATTGCTCCCAAACAGTCCATCTCTGGACTTCAGTTTCCTTATCTACAGTGTGGATTCAAAGTCCAGGTAGCCTGGTGGGTCAGTCAATGGCTCATGAACTCCCAGAGAGTGCTGGCTTGCCTTTTCAATTCTGGGACGTGTAAAGTCCTGCTTCACCATTTACAACATGGAACAGCTAGACTAGACAAGTCCACAATGTGGGAAGAGCAGTAACTGTCTTGCAGTGAAATACTCTTGCTGTCTGACTCAGGTCCTCACAGTGACCGATCATAGGGACAACTTGGGCTCCTCCTTTTAGATATGAGAAAACTGAGTGAGGCTCAAAAAGACCAAGTGGTCCATCCAAGGTCACAAACTGACATTTGGTGGATTTGTTTGGACAGTCATACAGAACCTTCTGTGTAGACTGCTAGTGCAGAGTAATATCAGAACTCTGGCTTTGCAGTGTGACCTTGGGCCAATCTTTTAACTTTTCTGGGCCCCATTACTTTTATATCTCATTGGATATACCTAGTGCTGTGGGAATAGTAGGTAAGCTTAGTAAGTAGCTGTCTTCATCTCACAAATTAGACAACCCATTTGTCAGTCCTGAGTGGCTAACAAATTGCCAAGACCATATAAAGAAGCAGTGATGTGGCAGAATTTAAATACATTTCTTTACATTCTGGCTTAGAAAACTGAGGAAAACGGGTCAGACGGCAGCCCAACGGTTACTGGAAATGAGGGCTTCCTATGACCTGGACCCAGTCTACCACCCCAGCCAACTCTCTCCAGGGGTCTAACCATGTGGGGTTAGGGCAAGACAACATGAGCAGGGACAGATCTCAGTCTCCACACGGAAGGGAGGGCAAGGAAGGGAGGGGTAGGGAGGTCCCCGGCACACCTCCCAGCTCTCGGGAGGGAGCCCAGGGTGGCAGGCTGAGAATGCCTGGCTCGGATTCAGAACCCTGGGGGGCAGAAGGCCGGGGCTGCCTGGGTCCGCTCCTCGGAGGAGGCAGGCATCTCCACCCACCTTCTTCAAGTGCCTCTCTCGGCCTCCTTTCACCTACCGGGAGAAGGAGATACGGAAAGAAAGAGAACCCATTAGAGAGAGGCCCTAACTGACTACCAAACTAAGGGCCACGTCCTCCTCTTGGACTACAAATCCCAGAAGCCCCCACCCCAGGAAGCCTGCTCAGCATGCTAACCTTGTAATCAGTGTGTTGGCTTACTGAGCATGCTCCTCAGCTCCTTTCTTCCCCCTCAGGCTCTTTCGAGTCCTTCCCTGGGCCTCTGAAGTAGTTTGAGCATGCTCTGTAGCTCCTCCCTAATCCTCCAGGTCTCTCAGATTCCTGGCCTGTACCAGTTACTCCTCACTTATGTTTCTTCTTCATAGTGAGCATGCTCCATCCACAGCCCCCGCCACAACTGCTAACACCTCTGAGGGAATCCACTTAGCCTCTCTCCCCAGGTAAAGCAGGGCCTGGCTCCAGAACCAATGCACCCACCAGGCTAAGACTACAGCTCCCAGAATCCCATGAGCTACACCAGCCTCACCCTTCCGCTCACCTTTTTCCTTGGGGTGGGGGGCTCATTCCCCGCCTCCCTCTCCTTGCGTTTGGGGGCCCCAGGCACATCGTCGGGGGTTGGGCCAGCAGGTAAGGGTCCCTTTCTTCTGGGCAAAGGTGGTGGTGGCGGCTCCTCTGTCAGCTTCCATCCACCCCCTAGGTTAGCGCCTTCATCACCATTGTCAGCCCTACGGCGCCCTGGACCCTCACCTGCATCCTGGAAAGTGTAAGCTGGGGATGAGGCCCCACCTAGCTCTCAATCCCCCACCCTGCCCCTATCCCAGTCCCTGCTTTTACCTTGCTTGTCCGTCCTTCCTGGGTACATCGGGGGCACTCCCAGCAGTTGGGAATCTCTGAATTAATAACACCCTCAGCCTTTCCCATCTGTAGGCAAGAGATCAAATAATGAATAGAAGGTGCCACTGTATGCCCAGAGATATACTGGCCTACCTCCTTACTACCTGATAGTTTAGCCCACCCCAGAGTTCAGGGTTCCTAGACTTAGCACCTTCAGGCAGCCAGGGTGGACGATCTCGTTGCAAATTGTACACTCCATGAGGCTCAAACCAAATTTCTCTTCCTCTCCTTCCACTGTATCCTCCTTCCCTGCCTCCCCACACAAGAGGCATACAGCTGTGTGTGGGAGCACGGGCTGTTGGAAAAGAGGAGGCATTAGAGACCCCAAAACCAAGGGCAGAACTTCAGCATCAGCTGTAGGAGGAAGCAGGTTCTAACCCCACAGGCCAAATCCTTATTTTGGTTCTTTTGCCAGGATGACCTTCAACGATTGATTTTCTGCATCTTGACGAAGGGGTGAGAGATCTTTCCTTTGCAGGACCATTGGTAAGAACAAGACAAAGCATGAAGGGGATTGGAGACACAACTATTGTCATTACTGGAATTGTCAGCACAAGGTCCAGGGCTAGTGTGGTCCTGAAATTATAACTGGCTTGGAGTAGAAGAGACCCCAGACAAATGACAATACTCAGAACAGTAGCTTGGGGGTAATTCTAAGGTTGTTCAGTTCCAAAGAGTGGCTCTGGAACATACAGTGAGACCAATTAGGGAAAGATCCCTGGGAACATGTAAAGCCACTGCTGCTTAGTTTTGGGGGAAAAGGCAGCAGCCTCCAGACAATGTGACTTTAGGGAGGACAATGGTGACATTGAATCCTATCAGGGATGCGAAAGGCCATGGATCTAGATCAAGAAGGATCAGAAAGTAAGGCAAGGGGCTGGGGGGCGAGGAAGGAAAGCAGCTGTGAGGGTGCAGACGCAAGCAGGAACGCGTGGCTGGAGGACGGGAGGCAGGCAGGGATGTATGTTAAGGGTAAGTCAGCTCCTCGTGGTTACTGGGGAATGGCCAGTTTGGTGGCCAGAGCTGCTTAAAGGATGAGGGAGGCATGGAAGAAACCACATTTCACAGATAACCAGTATGTACCAGGCCTTTCAATAGGGCATTCATAGCATACTACTGTCTAATCTTTGCAACTCAGAAAAGAAACATTTTACAGAAATGGTACTTGAAGACCAGTGATTTGCTCAAGGTCACAAGAAGGGGGTCCTGGACTCAAGATACCCGAAGGTGTATGTAAGAGGCCAGACAAAGGCAAAAGCTATTCTCCAGTGATAGGGATGGGTTCCTCTTGCACAGACATCCAGGCAGAGGCATACAGCAGGGGCTGAGCTCTCTATAGACCTGAGGCAGATTCTTCAGTGAACCTCACTTTGTGACAAAGACAAAACCAGACAGACATTGAAACAAATCAGTGAAGAAGACAGGAAGTGAGCGAATGAACAAACAGCACCTCTCAGGTACATTCAGGAAGCAGCCACTAGACACTCAGAGAGCTCAGGCCAGTACTAGTGTAATGGTGCTCAGGGGAGGTACTCCTGGGATTCCAAGGCGTGGGGGGCTAGACTCACCACGTGCACTGTACATTCAGGAAGCAGCCACTAGACACCCAGAGAGCTCAGGCCAGGGCTACTGATGGTGCTCTGGGGAAGCAGGCCTGGGGTTCCAAGGAACCTGACATGGGGGGCAAGACTCACCGCAGTGCACTGCCGAAGCAGGCATGACTGCTTCATGCGCCCGGGCCCCCCGAACTTCTTCATGTCTCGGCAGAAGTGGCAATCCCCGCACTCAGTTCGGACACAGGCCCGGCAGCGGCGGCAGCGGGTTCGGCGTCGGCGCGCTCCGGCCCCCGGCCCCCGGCTGCTCGACGACATTGGGGGCGTCAGCAACGCCGAGGGCTGTGGGCAGATGGTGGTAGGGTCAGAGAGGCCTGCTGAAGCTGGCCTGAGAGATTCCTGGCCGCAAGCTCCCTGCACCTCTGATGGGGCAGGGCTCCTATTTCTACCCTCGAGACAAGAAGGTCAGCCCTCTAGTGTGTGTCCTGAGCAGTGGGCCACTCCCTCCTCTAACATTCCCTCCTGCTTATTCTTCCCAAGCCCAGGAAGGAGACACTGAGGCCCCTCCTCTAACATCTCCAACCAAGGTTCCTGGAAAGGGCTTCGTGTCTGCAGCATTACCTCAGGGAGCTTCCAATTCATACCTGTTACCCAAACATCCCATGCTCTCCCAGATTTACCTCCAGATGGCAGGGTGCAAACACCACACTTTTCCTTCTCCCTCTCTCCTTTCTCTTTCTCATGGATACTAATCATTCAAACCTTCCAAAACTGGATCCTCTGACGAGATCCCCTCCATTCTAATGACCCACTGTGCTCTCAACTTCCTAGGGCTGACACCCCTGAGATGCTTAAGTGCCCCCTCTCAGCCCACACAGAAGTCCTTCTGCTCCAAGACATCCAATCTCAGAAACCCGGGTTCCCTGGGATTCTATAAGCCAGCCTAGTATCTCAACAAAATTCAAGGTGGGCTCGGTTTTTTCATCCCCCCCGCCACACTACCCCACATCTTACCAGCCTGCTTTTCATCCCTAATTGTCTGGAACCCCTGGGGCTCTCCTGCCCATGGAAACCAGATCCTCTGAAATCCCACATGGACTCTGCAAGCCTGGAGGGTCTCTTCCCAGCCAGTCTTAGACCTGCTTCCCCCTGGCTTCCCCTTTCCAAGGACTTCCAGACCATCCACAGGGTATGGGGCCCTCCAGCACTCTAGGGGAGGGGCCTAGAGGGCGGCGACTGGAGGCGGGGGATGGAGGGGGAGGTCTGCAAGGGGCAGAGGGGTCGGGGAAGGAAGGCCAGTTCCCTAGGGTTGGGAGGTTATAGGAAAGAAGGTTGGAGAAGAGTTTGGAGCAAAGGGAGGGTGAGGCTGGGGGCGGGGAAGACAAGGAGAGGCCAGGCTGAGGATGAATGGGAGTGGGAGCTGCCCAGGTCTGGGGGTGAGGAGGAGCCGCATGAACCCACCTCACACGTGTCCCGGGAGCCATCTCTCCCTTCTCGGCAGCTCCCGGCGGGTCGGCGGCCATCGGCGGCGGGGGGGCCGGGCGGCGCGGGGCGCGGAACGCTCAGAACGCCGGGGTCCACGGCCCCCCGAGGGCGCTCGGCCCCTCCCTCCGGCGGAGGCCGGGACAGCAGCGAGTGGAGATGGGGAGCGCCGGGGGCGAGGCCCTCCCACGGGCTGCGGCGCGGCCCTTCCAGGGGGAGGTCCTGCTCTGGGGGGCTCAGTCCCACAGCCCCCCCAGGCCAACAGGGGCTCCTCGGGCGCAGGGTGCTCAGCTTCTGCCCGGGCCCCACTCAGTCCCGGGTACGAGTCTCAGCTCCCCACCCCCACCTCTCCCCAAAGCCCCCGACCCTTAACTGGCTCCTTCCCAGCTCCAACTGCCCAGGGGTCCAGGGACAGACCCGGGGGCCCCCCACCGTTTCCGGGGTTCAAACCCCGCCCACCGCCGGTTCCCGGGGAGGGGGGGGTCGCTGCAACCTGCCCCCCTCCCCTGGGTCCGCCCCTGTACTGCGGCCCCTTGACCTACGGGGACGGGGCGCGCAGAGGGGGGGGTGAAGGAAGCTGCTCCGGCCCCGCCCCCAGCTTGCGCGCGCCCCCGCCCTCCCCCCTCCAAACGCGCGACCCTCGAGATATAGGGATTTAAATAATATTTGGATAAATCCTCTCCTAAAATGGGAGGGTGTAAGGAAAGGATGGGACAGAGGCAAGAAGGGGGTGGGGGCAGCTGGGGTGTCTCAGCACCCCTAGTCCCCTAGCCTCGCGCTGCTTCGGCCCCGGGCCCTGGTCGCCGCTCTCATCCCTTCTCAGCTCCTTCCTCCTTCCTCCTCTCCTCCCTCTCCCCTCCCTTCTTCCCACCTCCTCCTCCTTTTTACTCCCTCCTTCTCCCAGAGGAACCCCGCCCCCTTCTCCCTCCTTCCTCCACCACCTCTACTTTCCAGGACGAGCGCGTGCAAAGCACGACGGGAGATGTAGTCCTGCAAATTCTGGAGCTATCGTGGGAAAAGTGGGATACTGAGGCCAGCCAGCACTACAAATAAGATGGCGAAAGGCAAGCCACGCTGGGAGCCGAGCATGGCGGGAATTATAGTCCAGCTGACCCGAGACTCCCCGTAGCAGGACATAGAGAAGGAGCGGGAACGATGACTACAAACAAGATGGCCTTTTCCCCCGACCCGACCTCCTTTCCAGGCACTCACACGCCCTCTGGTCCACAACCCTCCGCGTGTGTGGTACCTGACGGGAGTCGCAGTCCATCTGCTGCCTTCCCGCTGCCATTTCTACTCGTCAGGAACAATGGAAAGGTGAAAAGGAACGAGGACTACAAGCAAGATGGCGAACGAGGGGCGTACACCTAATAAGTCGATCTTATGAAGTGGGATGGGAATAGTAGTTTCCTAGTCTTCCTGTGATCCTTAAGAATGCCAGAACCAGGAGGATAAAGAGACTACCATAAAGATGGCAGGCTACCTAACCTCTCCTGGTCGCTTCATTCTACCACTTTGAGCGCCTAACCCGCCTGAACTATCAAAATCCCGCACTCGGTGGTGCAAAGCCGGCCGGGAATTGTAGTCTTCCCCGCGCCCCCCTTTTATCTTCTGTCGAGACAATGGAAGTGTGAGGGCGGGGACTACCGCAAAGATGGCGGATGAAGGCGCAGAGGATGCTATGGGATTTGTAGTCCAACAGCTAAGACTATTCTCTGCGATTAAGTACGAAAGCACTGCTTGTAGAGATGGCAACCTAGTCGCTTGCCCTCGGTGCCTGTACCTGCTGAGGTATGTAGTCTCTTCTTTAGCTGTACAGAGAAAGGACACTAGCTGTTGAAATATGTATCACCTCGAACACGCCAAATTGCAAGCGAACGGAAACGGAAAGTCTATTTCCTCCTGGCCTTCTTTTGTAAAGGGCTTGCAGGGAAATGTAGTCTCAGGCTTTCATTCTCCAGTGGAGAATTGATGTCACCTGTGGGAATCAGTGCTGGTGAGAGAGAAACATCGGGGTGATCAGGGAGTATAGAATATCCGCCTTCCCGAATAGTGAGGATTTCATGTTTTAAAAGAAATCATCCATAACAAATATTGTCGCAGCAAGGGAGGCGTGGTTCTCGCCGGAAAGTACACCCACGCTGTTGTCCCTTAGGAAGCCTGGGCATCTCACACGCGATGCTCCTACTCCCAAACCTTTGCAAATCGATACCTTACACGTCAGCCGTACCAAAGGAAGAAGGCCTTGGAATATGCAAAATCTCTTCCCGCCTTAGGAAGTCATCAAACCTCAGTTTCTTATCCGAAAAGAGGGGTGGTAATACTCACCTTCAAGCAGAGTTAGCGTTAAAAGTGTTCAAGAAAGTAACCAGTTCTGGTACGGGGCATGTGACGGCAGTTATTTTTTCGAGGTCCCTTCCAGGCCTTTCGTTTTGGAAGCCCAGGAATCCACCATGCCGGACAGATGGCTTCTGTGAGAAGAAAACTGAGGAGTAGATTACCCCCATCTTAACCCCCACCCGTCTTCCGTCCATCTCTACCCAGCACTTTTCCCAGGGGGCGCCATCTCTCCTTTTAACAGAGGACTCGCACACTGACCAAATTTCCTCAACACGAACTTGTAGCGTTTGTATGCTGAGAAGCCTCCTGCCCTGTCTTTTCAGCCTTGCGGGCTTCCTCTGACCTCTAGGATGCCAATGGGTCTGCTTTATGCTATCTTGATATTCCTCCTGCGCCCTGGAAAATCCGCTCACTACTACCTCAAGCCAGTCCCCCGGCTTCCTCGTCTCCACTGAGTTTCCAGCCCTGCTGGAGACTTGGTGGGTGTGGTTTTTCTGCCTGGGAAGTTAACTCTGACCAAAACTGTGTCAAGTCGCAGTTTGTTAGTACTACTAGCCCTAAGGTAAATGGAGCCGGGCGTTGGTGGCACACGCCTTTAATCCCAGCACTCGGGAGGCAGAGACAGGCGGATCTTTGTGAGTTCGAGGTCTACAGAGTGAGTTCCAGAACAGCCTCCAAAACAATACAGAGAAACCCTGTCTCGAAACCCCCCCCCAAAAAAAAGGTAAATGGAGGCTCCTTGCAGCCAACACATCAGTCTCAGTTTCCAGGGAAGTGTTTGAACACTTTAAATCCACTCTGCTTTTACTCCAGCCGGCAAGGACTGCTTTCTGGTCTTTCACTCCAGCCGGCAAGGACTGCTTTCTGGTCTTTCACTCCAGCCTGCAAGGACTGCCTTACTAGCACTGTCCACACATGGACCAAAGTGGCACTTTTCCTTCTATTCCATGTCCCCACCCAGTAGTTTATCCTTCGAGTCCCTATTAAAATTCCACTGCCCTAGTAAAGCCTTCCGATAATTCCCAAATGAGATTTCATCGCTGGACGGTGGTGGCACACACCTTTAATCCCAGCACTCTGGAGGCAGGTGGATCTCTGTGAGATCGAGACAAGACCTAGTTCCAGGACAGCCTCCAAAGCCACAGAGAAACCCTGTCTCAAAACCAACCCCCCCAAAATAAATAAATAAAATGAGATTTCATTTATTGTCCTGCGTTGACTTCTAAGCTTACTGAGTCCACCTCCCAGGTTTTGTTTGGTTTTGCCATGCTGGGACTCAAACCAGCGATCATTGGTGCTAGGCCAGCACTCTACCATGAGCTACATCTCAGTCCTACCTCGAATACCTCTAAATGTTTTCAGTTTCTCATTTGATCCTCCTAAGAATCCCGTAAGAGTGGATGGGGCCTGGTGGCCCACTTCTTAATCCCAGCCCTTGGGAGGGAGAGGCAGGCAGATTTCTTTCTTTCTTTCTTTCTTTCTTTCTTTTTTTTTTTTTTTTGGTTTTTTGAGACAGGGTTTCTCTGTGGCTTTGGAGGCTGTCCTGGCACTCGCTCTGTAGACCAGGCTGGCCTCGAACTCACAGAGATCCGCCTGCCTCTGCCTCCCCAGTGCTGGGATTAAAGGCTTGCACCTTCACCACCCAGCCCTTGTTGACTGTTTTTACTCTGTACTTTTTGGGGGACCTGCGATCCAGTCCCCAAATCATACACACAGAGCCCTATAAATGCCCCGCTTTACCTTGGGTTGTTTCTAATCAGCTTTTCTTAAATTATCCCACCTACTTTTTGCCTCTGGGCATTTGTTTTTTGTTTTTAAAGAATTGTTTATGTATGAGTACTCTATCTGAATTATGACTTTATGCTAGAAGAGGGCATCGATGGTTGTGAGCCACAGTGTGGTTGCTAGGAATTGAACTCAGGACCTCTGGAAGAGCATCCAGTGCTCTTAACCCCTGAGCCATGTCTCCAGCCCATCTTTCTCTACTTCTGTGTACCTTACTTTCACTCTTACTCTGTGGCTGGATGGCTGGCCCTTAGCGTCTTCTCTTCTTGCTCTCTTGCTCCTTGATTCCTGTTTTCTTTATCTCCCCTTTTCTATTTATTCTCTCTGCCTGCCAGCCCTGCCTATCCTTTCTCCTGCCTTGCTATTTACTCTTCAGTTCTTTATTAGACTAATCAGGTGTTTTAGACAAGCAAAGTAACACAGCTTCACATAGTTAAACAAATGCTACATAAAAGAATGCAACACATCTTTGCAATGTTTCATAGTATAAAGAAATGAACACATCTTTTTTTAGATTTATTTATATATTTCATATACAGTAGTCTGCCTACATGCCAGAAGAGGGCACCAGATTGAAATGTAAATGGTTGTGAGCCACCTTGTGGTTGCTGGGAATTGAACTCAGGACCTCTGGAAGAATAGTCAGTGCTCTTAACCTCTGAGCCATCTCTCCAGCCCCAGTAACACATCTTAAAATAATATTCTACAGCAGTACAGGTCTTTAATCCCAGCACTTGAGAGGCAGAGGTAGGTGAATCTCTGAGTTCAAGGCCAGCCTGATCTACAGAACAAGTTCCAGCACAGCCAGAGCTACACAGAAAAACCCTGTCTCCGGGGGGGGGGGACGAGGGACTTGAAAACGCAAACACACAAAGAAATGGTTTAGTTTTATTCTAGTGCATATGGTAACTGTGTCTGGGTCCAGCCTCACAATCTGTTCATTTGTTTGTTTTGATTGTTGTTTTGGTTTTTTTTAAGACAGGGTTTCTCTGTGGCTCCGGAGCCTGTCCTAGAAGTAGCTATGTAGACCAGGCTGGTCTCTACTCACAGAGATCCGCCTTCCTCTGCCTCCCAAATGCTGGGATTAAAGGCGTGCGCCACAACACCCGGCTCTTATTCAGTTGGCTCCTCTGAAAATAATTGGTGCACAGGAAATGAAGGAGGTGGGGGAAAGGAGTCACT